CACATGGACATCCTGTCACATCCCACTTTCAGCTGTCTTGGAGAAAAAAAAAATGATGATTTCTTTGAATTCTCTGCCCTATCCCGGGCCCCCCAAATAAATTCGGCACATGCCTTGCAGTCAGTGTTTTAAATCAAATGACCCTTACACTCACGCTCCAGATGGGAGACATCCTGTCCAACCATTTTGCATGATGCACTGTGACAGAGAGACATTTAGTTCCATTTACTTACTGATCAAATATGGGAGATAACGGGGAAAGGAGATTTAAAACTGATGAAGGCGTTTCCTGCCGAGGGGACAAGGGCAGCGGATAAGGAAGAAAAACACCAATAACAATGGCAATCTGGGAAAAACACTTTGGAAGTTGAGCAGACTGGCTAGGTTGAAGAGAAAGATGGTGAGCTTGCCTTTCTGAGCTTTTAATTGGAGTTGACAGTGGGACACCCACGTAGAGAAGTCCTGTAGCCAGCTGGAGCTGACTAGAGCTCAGGAGAAAGAAGGAGGATGGAAATATAAGTCAAGATTTTCATCAGCCCAGAGAGACGAGGGTTGAAACTTTGAGCTGTGATATGTCCTCTTTGGAAAATTAAACAAGTTGGAGATATTGAGGATATACTCAATGTATACTTTCTGATTTTCACGTAGTAGGTACAGCAAATAGGTCCTAATCGAAAACTAGTGCATGTGACCAGAAGAAAGATCTTTTGAGGTCTTGAAGTAATTTTATCCGAAGAGTGGGGAACATAGGGGCTCCTGACTGGCTCATTCAGAAGATCACAACACTCTTGATCTCGGGGTTGTAAGTTTGAGCCCCCTGATGGGTGTAGAGATTACTAAAATAATAATAATAATTATTATTATAGTAATAATAGTAATATTATTAATAAATTAAAAAAACAAGAGTGGGGAGCAAAGTCAAACTTCAGGGCACTATAGGCAGGAATAATTATGTAAGAATTGGAGGCAGTGGGTGAGGGCCATTTAGTTAGCTGACGCCCCCGGAGCTCCCTCTTTGTGCCTGTCACGCAATTTCTCTTATCACATTTTATTTTAGATTATGGCTTGAGTTAGTTGCATATTTGTTTTCACAAAGACTCTGAATTCTCTGAGGGCAAGGTCTGTATCTTATTCATCATTTTTGTCCCTTTAATACCTAATACATGACTTGCAAAAATAAACGCCCAAGGAAAGTTCTAAAATTCACTTTGCAAGGGCGCCTGGGTGGCTCAATCGGTTAAGTGTCTGCCTTCAGGTCGCGTCTTGATCCCAGGGTCCTGGGATCGAGCCCCGCATCAGGCTCCCTGCTCACTGGGGAGTCTGCTTCTCCCTTTCCCTCTGCCTGCCTCTCCCCCTGCTTGTGCTGTCTCTCTCACTCTGCCAAACAAACAAATAAAATCTTAAAATAAAATAAAATAAAATAAAATTCACTTTGCTCAAGGTTGGCTCTCGACCGCCACCGGCAGTGTTTTTCACATTTTGATGTTCCTTACCTTGGGGTGGGAGATGAACTTGGTGGCCTCTGGACAAAATGTATTTGTTTTAAATGTAAGACGGTTGAAGGATTGGTGTAGCCAAGCCAGGCTGGATGTCGCCTGGAGTTGATAGACTCCAGATATGCCTTTATTGTTTTACAGAGACAATGAATTTCCATTTATGACTTTAGTATCAAGTTCTAAAATTTTTTAAACAGTATGTTCCAGTGAAAAAGTGAGTTCATGGAAATATTTTTAAAATAAGTAAATTTTAGTCGATGAGGCAGACAAACAGTAAAATCTAGAAGCTGGTATGTGAGAAAACCGAAGCTGGAAGGGTGATGGTCTTATGCAGTGTATCAGAATCTGGTCCTCCCCTAGCTGGCTTCCTTCTCCTTTGTACCTCCTTACGTGCCTCTCTCTCCCTCTCAGCAGTCATAGCCGTAAAATCAGGGACTTCAGACGTAGTTACGGTGTTCAAAATATACATTAAAATGAACACAAAACCAAAGAACTAAAGCCATACGCATCCATAGCCCACCTGGAGTTCTCTCCCACCACATTCTGGGAAACGTTGCTGTTTGGAAACTTATCTGGTCTCCCCACTCCTCGGGGGAGTTCTTAACATTGGGCACCACGGATTTCTTCACAACAGCATCTTTGGTGGTGCAGTTATGCCTAGCCTAAGAGGGCATCATTACGTGTTTGTTCGGAAAATGGAAGGTGAGCAGGACGCCAGCCACAGGGTTTTTAATGTGCAAAGTACCAGGGTGCCGAAGCCCGACTCCGTACAGTTCAAAGACGATGGGTCTCAGGGTTTCCCCGCATGCAGTTCGTGTTAGAAACAAACCACAGAATGTGGCATTATCCACAGTGGAGAGCTCCCTGATGTTGGGATTCTAACTAATGAGTTTGGGGGGCAAGCTGAGTTCTTCCAAGCAGAAAGCAAGCAACTGAAATCTCTCCCTCACTTACTTTTCTCTCTGTGGCCAATGCCATCTGCTAGTTTTAAAAATAATTTTTAAAAGCAAGTGTTTTGGTTCCCTTCAATGTGCAGCAAAGACAGATGCTATTTTTAAGGCTTGTTTTCTATCAAAAAAAACCCAAAGAACCAGGGGCTGGGTGCTGGCAGTTCTTCTGGCTGTCTCCACTCTGCCACTAACTTGGATGTGACCTTTTTTTTTTTTTTTTTTTTTTTTCAAATCACATAGGCCTTGGACACTGAGAAACAGAAGCGATAATTCTACCTCTCTAAAGATGTCATAAGGGTCAAGTAGTGTTGGCCTGAGGAAATCTCTTGACTTTTCAAAAATTATCGATTACCCTTTACTTCTTGCCTGTGACCTGCCAGTTTTTGTCGTGCTTTGCGGCTGGAACTCTGTACCCCTTCCCTCCCCTCCTGGACGGGAAGCAGTTAGAGGCGAGGACATGCCCATGCATCCATACAGCATCTAGCTCAGTACCTTCCACAAGAGCAGCCTGGAACGGACCTGCCTGGGTTCAAATCCCAGCTGGGCCGTCCAGCAGCTAAGGGAACTGAGGCAAGTTTCTTACCCTTTCCTGGGCTTTAGTTCACATCTTTAAATGGAGGAGAAGGGTCATACTGTCCTGTTGGATTGTTCAGAGAGAGAAGTGAGGCAAAATCGATACAGTGGTTGGCTCAGTCCCATGATAAATGCTTACAAGATGGTAGCTTTATTTCGTAAAAGGTATCATTCCTATCATTAGACACTCAAGACACGTTGGACAAATGCAGCTATGATTGTTAGGTAGACGACACAGCTCTGTGCACTGTAAGAAGGATTCTGCTGACAGTGGATGGAACATTCGTGATAGGGCCAGCAGCACGTTCGAGCTCTCCACACACGTCCTCATCGTTCTCTCTGGGCTCCTGGCCTCACAGGCCCACACGACAGCCTTGTGACTTTGGGCAGCAAACCTCCTTTTACATTGTGACCCAACCGTACCAACCTATAAATAGAACCAAAACACACATTTCACAACGTAACACCTACGGGTACTTTGTGTGGGGTGCTCTGATCATTTCCATCCTGTTCTCTTTGATGCTTTTTTTTTTTTTATTAAGTTGATCATGTGGCATCAAGGAATGACTTGACCCAAGTGGGCATCTCTGAGAAGAGGTGAAGTCGTTTTTTCATTTAGCGGACACCCCCCTGATGGAAGGAGAAGTGGCAAATTTCATGAAAGTGTCCCCCAAGGACCACAACATTCATGTGTTTCACTGAGTCCCAGCAACAACCCTGTGGTTCAGTTATTACTATTATTTTTACTATTATTAATATCCATGCCACAGATGAAGAGACTCAGATGTTTAATAATCTTTCCAAATCATCCAGCTGTCATGAAGCAAAGCTGGGTTCCAAATAAAGTCTGTTTGGCACTGTTCTCCATTCTCTAGCACCTCCTATGAGCAGGTCTTGGGACAAGAACAGGGCTTACACAGCTGAGCAGTACACAGCCCCTGACTCTAAGAGAGTTCCCATCTCCCTTGAAAGACACGTTTAAAGTTTTCCCTCAATGGGGTATAGATTTCTTTTTCTGGCCCAAATTCTTTTCCTTCTGGATATGCCCTCTGAGGCCACTATTTCTCAAATTCTATTAATTCATCCCCCCCCTATAGTCCCTGTGTTAGATATCTACTACAATACCTCAAACCTCAGGGGCTTAGAACCATGATAAGCATTTATTATCTCACAGTTTCTGTGGGTCAGGAACTCAACAGAGGCTAACCTGGGTGGTTCTAGCTTGGGTGTCCCACCTGAAAGTTGTCATCAAGCTGTCATCTGGGCTGCGGTCATCAGAAGGCTTGACTGAGGCTGGAGGGTCTGTTTCCAGGCTGGCTCCCTCTGGTGGCTGGGGAGGTGGTGTTGGCTGTTGGTAGGAGGCCTTGGTTCTTTGCCAGACGTACCTTCCTGAGGTGCCGCTTAAGCGTTCCTGGGACTGGCGGCTGGCTTCCCCAAACAAGGGATCCAAGAGAGAGCAAAGTGGAAGCCACAGTATCTTTTGTGACCTAGCCATGGAAATCACACCCGTCATTTTTTACACTATTCTACTGGTTACACAAGTCAGTCCTGTTCCTTGTGGGAAGAGGCTGCGCAAGGACATGAATACCAGGAGGGGAATGTCACAGGGGGCCGTCATGGGGGGGTGATTACCATAGCTACCTATTATCTGTAATATGATCTATGTGTTTCTTTTCCATTCTTTATAACAATTAGCTTTATCCTAAACCATAATATCCATGAAGTCACAATATTAATGTGCTAATTACATTTTCCAGGACAAACAAATAAAATTGACAGTTATTAATTAAAAAAAAATGCATGTACCGCCTATGCCCAGTTGCATATATGCAGTGGCCTTTGGGGGAATAATGGGCCTGAAGATGGGGACCTGGCATCGAGTCCTAGGGATTTTGATCCTAAATCCCACCTCTTCCCTGCTCTCCACGCGGAACCTGAGAAACACGGGATGTTGACGATATGGTTGGCTCCCTTCTCCTAGGACCGCCTGTACTTTGTGATGGAGTACGTGAACGGGGGTGACCTCATGTACCACATCCAGCAAGTTGGCCGGTTTAAGGAGCCTCATGCTGTGTAAGTACAAACTTTTCCCTTGGGATACCTGGGTGGGCTATGAGTTACCTTGGGTTTTCAGCTGAATAGGGATTCTTCGCATCTTGGGCTGCTTCTTCATGAGAAGTCTGTGGCCGGGGAAGAAGGTGTTCTGCTGAATAAGGATATACTTCTTTCTTTCCTTGACACCAGCTAAGAATGTGAAGCTTGAAAACCACAGCCATTTATTTATCTCAGATGTTTGCCCCTGCCTCCGAAGGAAAGGCCCCGGAGGTTTTGTGGGGGGATGTCATGGTAGCGTTCGTGTGTTCATTCGCCAGTCTTTCTTGAGCGCTTACTCTGTGCCAGGCCCAGAGAGTTTGTAGAAACTTGCTCAAGATCACAGAGCTGGGGCGTGTGAGACAGATCCCCACTCTGACCCAGATTTTTGCTCTTGTACTTTGCCCTACACCATGGCTCACTCTCTTGGATGCCCTCCTTCCCCGGAGAATGACAGATCAAGTTGCTTTGTGGCTGTGCCCTGAGGCTCTTGGGTGGGGAGACTGATTAGGGTTTTTGGAAATGTGTTTCCCCTGCTGAGTCCATTCTGTCCCTGTCAGTCCCCAAGGCAGCCAGGCTTTTCTTTTGAGAACACAGACCTCATCATGGACTTCCCCTGTGGTGACCAGGAGCAGCAAGTCAGGGCATTAGCAGAGACGACCTCTCCTGAGCAGTTGGCTACGATCTCATTGTCCCTCTAGAAAGCCCTTCAGGACTCACCTAGGGCCCATCTGGCCACTCCAGAGGCTTGCCGACTCCTGTTCAGCTCAGCTCTGCCCTCTCCCCTCCCGCCGGCCGCGGTGATGAGCACCGTATTCCTCTAGGGTTTGCCTTCTAGATAGCTCCTTGCGCCATGCCTAGGTCTTGCCACGGTTCTAAGGGGACCCTGGGCTTGGCTCTTCCTTGACTTCTAAAACCTAGCGGACCACAGACCCTCATCCCATCATCACATAAAACAAATTGTCAGGACACTTAACAGAGTTCCCTAAAGCCCCACCTGACCCTGTGCTATCACTGGGACTTTCTCCTTCTCTCAAAATCTCTTTCCTTCTGGGCCTCCATTAAGAGCTTACAAAGGCAGACACTGGGGGCATTATTAATTATTAATTTTACTTAATTATGTGGGCACCATTATTAAGGGCTTACATGGGCAGAGGTTGGGCCATTCCTTCGCAATATAACTTGGTCAGGTCATTTTTTTCTCACTGAGCCTCAATTCCTCCTTTAAGGAAAGAGGGAGGTACTAGTAGGACCTACCTCACAGGATGGTTGTTAGAATTTAATCAGATAATTATCTACAGTTTCGGTAGGTAGATGGTAAGTCTTCAGCAGATTAGCTGGTAGTATTCAGGTACTTCAAGAACTTGCCTTGGACTGAAACTCATTCTCCAGCCAGTCTGCCTTCTCCCACGGCCTCCTCCCCACCTCTCTGCCCACCCCGGTTCATCCTGAAGGCAGCCTTGTGAGTCTCTCAACCCTGTTCACTCACCCACACCCCCCTGCACATCGTGTTACGAGATGTGCGGCTGACCGTCCAAGGTGGGACGTGGCTGCCCCACGCCTCGTTCAATTCTGTATTGAATTCTGAGGTTTTGCCAGGCATACGGTGTCCTTGAATCTCTCCATTGCTTTTTTTTTTTCCCCCTAATTTCAGATTTTACGCTGCAGAAATTGCCATCGGTCTGTTCTTCTTGCAGAGCAAGGGCATCATTTACCGGTAAGTGAGCACCAAACCCCTTCCATCCCCTCTTCTCCCTCAGCTCCTCCCTTCCCTGCCTCTTTCTTTAACTGCTTTTTAAAATTAGAATCCCTGGTGGGGGAGGAATCCTCCAGTCCTGACTTGGGCATGTGTTCGCATCGCCCACTGCCCTGGCAGAGTTTGGGCAGCTCTAGATGGTGATGGAAGATCGCTATGGACCCTGCCGCCAGTGATGGTTCGGAGCCTCCGATGGGAGACCCTTTGCTTGAAGGAGGGAAGGCTCACCAGTGGGGGCCCAGCGCTTCCTTCTCTTGCCTTGGGACCCCAAATCTGGGGAGCAAGCAGAGAATCTCGCCTGGCAGGATATGGTGGATCCTATTATTATGAGATGATTTTTTTTTTTTTTTTTTTTTTTTTTTGCTACATAACTAAAATGTAGAAATGGATCTCTAAAATGCTTGCCCTGAAAGACAGGATTAAGTTCAGGACTTGGCATTTGCCCGTTTTTGGAGGAGCAAGTGTACGATCATAGCTGTATGAGTCATACCGTTTCATATTTCACGCAAGGCAGGCAACTGAGCCTGAGGCGGCTCTTTGTCAGTGGTCTGGCTGTACGAGTCTCCTTCTCTCACCACATGGATGCAAACGGCAGAGGCAGTGCAGGCTCGGGCTGGTTGGTCACGCAAGAGAGGCTGACAGGGGCCTGGGGCTTCCAGAGGGCACTTGGCACAGGCGAAGGTCTATCTAAGAGATCGTGAAGAGCCATAAAATTCCATGCCACTCACGTAGCTGACGGACATTTACTAAAAGCCTACTATGTGCGAGGAGCTCTTCTAGATGGTTCGGGTGCAGCTCTGAGAAGAAAACAGGCAAAACCTCCTACCTTGTAAGACTTCAGCTGTAGTGGAGGGAGACGGATATTAGGTCACAGAGATACAGTCTGTCACGTAGCAATAAGCACTAGGGAGAAAAGCGGAGCAAGGGAGGGGGGCCGGCATGTGCCAGGTAGTGACAGGGACACCTGTCACCCTGTGGAGGGCACGGGATCGACGTCTTGCTGCAGCCGAAGGTCGTGGGGCCAAAAAGCGTAAAAAGATGAGCCCTGGCGGTCTCAAGGCAGATAGTGGAGTGGAGGCCGTGGGCACTGGTGGAATGGAGACATGGGAGGTGAGCATCTTGCCAGAAGCCTTCAAAGTCCAGGGGCTTTTTTTGAACCCCTTGAAGTGGTGATATGCATCTAGTGGGGGAAGGGACAATCATCCTGGGGATATAGAGTCCCTACTCTGCTTCGTTGTCCCTAAGAGCGGAGGGATGAAGGTCAGGAAGAGGACTGGTTTCACCTGCCACGTGGGCGAGGTCAGTGAAGAAACAGAAAGAGAAAGAAAAAGAAGAATTTTAAACTATAAATTGCATGCTCATTCTGGCCATGCTTGCCCTCAATGAACCCGTACCACTGTGTGTGCAAGAGACGCACTTGGGAAACCTCTGATTCTGTTTCCTCTTGCCCCAAGTGGGGGCATCTTGTGCCAAATGGCACTCTGGTGTTGAAGGGTACACATCATCTTCCGTATGACGTGACTCCTCGTTCAAGCCAGTAACTTCAGCAGGGGCTTAGCTGAAGAATGGGCATTGTGGGTAATCATTCACTCTACTTGATTTTTACTTTATGTGCTGACATTAGAACCTTCCTCTTGGGCAGGATGGGTCTTGGCTATAATAGAACTGGCCACTGAGGATTGCTGAGGAGATTAATGTGGGACTGCAGGTTAAGTGGAAGAAAATCCAGTCCCAGGGGAGGGGCCGGGAGAGGACATAGAATTTCTTTGACAGCTGGGGTGGGATTCAGCGTTGGGTTTCCTGTCTAGTAGGGTTGTGGATTGGTCTGGGATCCAGGACCTTCACCATTCCAGTCATAAAATAAAAGATTAGATTTCAGTGCTAAGACTTTGCCTACCTCAGAGCTCTCTCTACTAACACATTCTTCAATCCTTCCTCAACTATTCATACTTTTTAGGGGGCACTAGTCTCTCTTTTAAGGCATTCAGCATCTGAATCCCTTTCATTCATGTGAAGGAACAAAGTCCATCTCCTGCTATATAGAAGGGAAATGCCAGGTACTATCACAGCCTCCCTGCATCAAAGGCAGACACACAACCCAGGCTCTGACACTTGTCACACTGACACAACACCATGAACCAGAAGTAGTGGCCAAGAAAGGCAGAGACTATAGAATCGAGAGTGGCCATAGAAATCAGCTACATCTAGTTTCTAGAGGCATGAGGAGAAGCAGTTCTTAGCAACAATATCCAGAGTCCAGCATTAGGGTTCATGGAACAGGATGGCTGTACCCAGTGGTGGCATCTGTGACACCTTCACTGGACCAGCTCTGCATCGCAACTAAGCATTGTTCCTGGCTGCCTCCCCTCTAAATCTGATTCTCCAGCCTTCTAGGAAATTCTGTGGACTCCCAAGACCTTTTTTAACAATCCCTTTCCAGGTTGACATGGTTAGAGTTGATTTTTATCACTCACAATCAAAAACCTTGATTGAGGCAGAGTTTGTGAAATTGATAATCAAATGAAAACCAGTAAAAAAAAAAAAATTACATGGCAGAAGAAACATGGTTTCTTAACTTCATTGAGATGACCTTCATGTGGTAAGGTCTTTAAAAATGCTGCACATCTCTCCCTCTTTCATTTAGATCTCTAGTTAACTGGAGAATTCTTAAGTTAAGAGGATGAAGAATTATGTTAGACTTGCCCTCTTTGAGGACTGTAGCTGGAGATGTTGGGTACAGGGGAGACAAAGATCCTTCCAAGTTTCATGTCTTATTTATGGATCACTATCCCTAGAATGTGTGATGGTTTTGCCCTTGATGGATTTCTGAAATGAAAACAATTGTTCCAACCCCTTTCTGCAGGATCATTCCATTGAGCAAAATAATGCAGTAGACGATCAAAAGACATATGTGATGATGAATATGACTGGTTGTCCCCCAGCTGCATAACCTGCTGGCCATTGGCACCTGAAGCTCCTTTTTTTTTTTCTTTTTTTCAGGTTTTATTTATTTATTTATAAAATGTGTGAGAGAGGGAGGGAGGAAGTTGGGGGAGGCGCAGAGGGAGAGGGAAAGAGAGAATCTCAAGCAGACTCCATGCTGAGCACAGAGCCCGACATGGGGCTTAATCTCACGGCCCTGAGACCCTGACCTGACCTGGAATAATGACTCAGATGCTTAACCAACTGAGCCACCCAGGCACCCCCTGAAGCTCCTTTTCTATAACACATGAAGCTGTCACCACTTTTCTAGTTTGCCCAGCTGCCCGTTTGGGGGTATGTGGTCAAACTGAGGGCAGTGTCATGGGTCTCTGTTAATCAAATCACATGTAGATCTGGCATGTTTTAGGTGAAACAAGTTGCTCTAAAGTCCAGTGTAAGCTCAGAACTGGCATTCAGAGACCACTGTGGCTTGTAGAAGGACGAAGGCTGGATGTGGGTGGTACCATGGACAGCACCAAAGATCACTGTATGTTGCTGTTGGCAAGTGGGGTGCAAGTGGGCCTCCCCTTGGATGACCAGACCTCACAGACACTGGTAGGAAATGCCAATGTCTTTTTTTGCATTGTATTCTTTTAGTCGAAGGTGACGACAGCAACTCAATTCAAACTAACTTGTTAAAAGAGATATTTTTTAGCTGACATAACAAAAGTCCGGGGGACAGATCTAACTTTATGCCAGGATGGATCTGGGGGCTCAAATGTTATGAGTGCTCACTTTATCACCTTCCTTCCAAGTTCTGCTTTATCTCTACTAGCTTTCTTCTTTATCCGGTGACCGCTGGCACTTCCAGACTTACGTTCTACCACCCGAGCAGCCCCAATGTAAAAAGAGCTCATCTCTTTCCTAACAATAGTGCCAGAGCCGTTGCTCAATGGCTTTGATTAACTCATATTAGGTCACATGGCCATTCCTGGCACAGTCACTGTGACCAGAAGAATGAGGTGTTTCCGGGCGCCTGGGTGGCTCAGTGGGTTAAGCCTCTGCCTTCGGCTCAGGTCATGATCTCAGGGTCCTGGGATCGAGCCCCGCATCGGGCTCTCTGCTCAGCAGGGAGCCTGCTTCCTCCTCTCTCTCTCTGCCTGCCTCTCTGCCTGTTTGTGATCTCTGTCAAATAAATAAATAAAATCTTAAAAAAAAAAAAAAAAGAATGAGGTGTTTCCAATGGCCAGGATAGGCCCCCATGACCACTCGTGGAGCCAGAAGCTAGGATCACTACCACCAACATTACATGGCTTGAGAATCAGGGAAGGATGGTCCTTCAAAGGAATATGCGGAGGCCGTCATCACGAGATGCTAAATTAGGCAGGGACCACAGATGTCCACCACAAAATGAAGGTGATTTAAGATAGGGATCTGAATTAAATAGTAGACCCCCTTACCTCTCAGGAGGTGACTCTACTGGACTCTACTGAGATTGAGAAAGACTGGCCCATGGATCACCACTGCTCATTGATAACTGAAACACCAAGTGTTGGCACTGGAGTAGATGTTTAGGGAGGAGGAAAGTGTGTTGATATTGAAGTAATCCAATATGCTGGGAATGTGCAGGCATTGCTAAAAATAATCAGGCTCTCCTCATCAACACAGATAGAATGGAAGAATGTGAGTGTAGCAGATGTCCTTTAGGTTAAAGTTCAAATGTTACCTCCATGGAGATGACACCTTTCTGGCATCCTGTTTACAGAAACCTTCCCCAGTTACTAATTCATCATCTTCTTCATTTTCTTCACACTGCCCATCAAAATCAATAGTAGTCATAAAATCAATAATCATGTAATAATTAGATAATATATAATAATTATAATTAATAATCATGTAATAATTATAGATTTGGACACCTGTTAATTATCTTTTTCCCTATACTGGAATTTAATCTGAATAAGAGCAAAATGTTTGTTTACCTTGTTCACCTTATATACCCAGCTCCAAGCATAATGCCTGTCACATAGTAGGTGTGCAACCCTTTTTTTTTTTTTTTTTGAGTGAGAGAATCTATGGGAACTCTTGGGGTCATGTCCTAGGAATCAGCCTAGGAGAGCCTGGAGCACTCGAAACTAAATAAGCTACTTTCCATCAGTTGCTTTTTTTCCCTCCTTGATCTTCAGAGATATTTTCAAAAAATAATTTTGTGAAAAATGTATCTTACTATGGAATATAAGGGGTCCTTAAAGTACAAGGACTGACTCTTGAAATGCTCCTGGCTACAAGAGGCCTCTGTGGATGTTCTGCTCTTTACTGAGCTTCTTGTGGCTCTCTCCTCTCAGAGCTGCTGTCTCATTGTGTCCTCGTGAGACGCTTGGCACAGTTGGGTCTATAGAAAAAGAGAAACAGACAAGTTTGTGGACCCCTCTTTACCGGCCGGATAATAAACTATCAGAGGGCAAGGGCCAGCTCAGACTCACCTCTGATCTTCCCCGACACCTAGCACAGTGTTTTGCACGTCCTGAGTGGCTGGCTGGTGGTTGACTTGAAATAAATAGCATTTGTTAAATCCTTAAATTTTTATGTCTGCTGCAGTGACCTCAAACTTGACAATGTGATGCTGGATTCAGAGGGCCACATCAAGATTGCTGATTTTGGCATGTGTAAGGAAAACATCTGGGATGGGGTGACCACTAAGACATTCTGTGGAACTCCAGACTACATCGCCCCTGAGGTAAGAGCTGATGGGACCCCTAACACATGTCTCTGTTGCATTGATGTCTCCCCTATACCCTCAATGACCATATCAGAGCTGGGAAAGGGCCAGGGGGGTACCTGGCAAGCAAACCTCAGGCTAGTCCTTCTCCTATACTCTAAATCGTTCCTTGGATATCACACATGCAAATTAACTTTGCACGCATCCAGAAGCTCAGGCCCAAAATACATCAAGGTTTGGGGGAAAATTTAAATAAAACTCAAAAAGAACCATCCACCACACATCAGGAAAATTCTTCAAGCTGCTATGGCTCATGGCCATATGATACTGCCTCATTTTGACATTGAAATGTTTGTTAAGAGGAGGGAAAGAGAGAGAGGGCTTTCCTGAGCTGACATATGACACAGGATCTATGTACTGATACTAAACCCTGAAAGACTTGGAATTTTTCTTTCTGTGAGTAAGATATAAATGAAAGGGAAAAGATTTAATTCTGGTGCCTCCCCCTCCCTTCCCAAAGGAAACGGTCAGTTGCAGAATGGATTTCCCCAACATGTCATGGTACCGAATTTGTGCCAGATGATAGCCTTCCCTTTTCTCTGAATTGGTGCTTAGAGAAGTGGCATTTTGCAATCTGTTACTAGATTTTTAAGGAAAGGAACTGAGGATGTGGCACAGAGTTTTGGAAATGGGTATTCTAGAATTCTTTTCTTGACTGTCAGTCACTTATTTGGAACAATGGTAATGGGAGGCCACCATGTAACTAAATAACTTGCCACAAAATTTAAAACCTGCATACTCTTTTACCAAAGCAGTTCTTCTAGGAACTTAGCTTGTAACACACAACACACACACACACACACACACACACACACACACACACACATACACATGGCTGAAATGATATGTGTTCAAAATCCATTCTTCATTACAGTGTTATTTTTAAATAACGAAAAGTAGGAAACAGCCTCAATGACTACCAATAAGAAAAAGGTTAGCTAAAATATGGTACATTCACATTAAAAAGTACCATGCAGCTCTTATGTACTAACTGGAACGATGTCTGTTAATCAAGGAATGGATAATAGACTGAATTATTTATAGCATGAAATATGACATCAATTTAATTCAAAAAAGACTGAGTTAGAGATATAGAGTGAGATATGGAAAGATCTTTGAAACATATTGTTAAGAGAAAAAAGTCAAGGTAAGTGAACAACTATATGCCAACAAGCTGGACAACCTTGAAGAAATGGAAAAATTTTTAGAAAGATGCAATTTAATAAAACTGAATCAGGAAGAAATAGAAAATCTGAATAGACCAATTACTGGTAAGGAGATAGAATAAGGAATAAAAATTCTCCCAATGAAGAGAAGTCTAGGACTAGATAGCTTCACTGGTGAATTTTACTAAGTATTCAAAGAAAAATTAACACCAATTTTTCTCAATTTTTTTTTCTGAAAAATCAGAGGAGAGAAGACTCCCAAACTATTTTTACAAGGCTAGCATTATTCTAATACCAAAAGCAGAAGAGTATATTACTAGAAAAGAAACCACAGACCAATATCCCTGATGGATATAGATACAAAATTAGTAGACTGAATTCAGGAGCACATTAAAAGGATCATTCACCATGATCAAGTGGGATTTATTCCTGGGATGCAAGGATGACTCAATATATGCAAATCAGTCACTGTAATACATCACTAATAGAATAAAAGAAAAGAATCACATCATTTTAATAGATGCAGAAAAAAATAGGGATAAGACAATGGTGTCCATTCTCACAACTCCCATGCAACATAGAACCAGAAGCCCTAGCCAGAGAAATCAGGCAAGAAAAATAAATAAAAGTATCAGAATTGGAAAGGAAGAAGTCATGTTTGCATATGACATGATTCTATATGTAGAAGATCCTAAAGACTCAACCAAAAGTGTTAGATCTAATCAATGAATTCAGTAAAGTCACAAGATACAATATTAGTATGCAAATATCAGTAGCATTTTTATAAACTGACAACAGATTTTCTGAAAATGAAATAAAGAAATGGATCCCATTTATAATACCTCAAAATCAATAATATACTTAAGAATAAATTTAACTAAGGAGATGAAATATTTCTACTCTGAAAACTACAAGACATTGCCAGAAGAAATTGAAGAAGATACAAATAAATGGAAAGACATCCCATGTTCATGAATTAGAAGAATTAATTTTGCTAAAATGTCAATACTACCAAAAGCCATCAATAGATCCAGTATAATCTCTACCAGGATTTCAACTGCATTTTTGACAGAGGTAAAAAAACACTGTCCATATTTATGTGGAATCACAAAAGATACTGAATAGCCAAAGATTTGAGAAAGAAAGGGGTGCCCGAGTGGCTCAGACAGTTAAGTGTCAGACTCTTGATTTTGGCTCAGGTCATGATCTTAGGGTTGTGAGATCGAGCCCATTGTCAGGCTCCTCAGGAGCCTTCTTAAGATTCTCTCTCTCCCTCTCCCTCTGCCCCACCTTCTTCCCCACTCATGTGCATTCTATCTTGTTCTCTGAAAAGAAAAGGAAAGAAAAAAATGATAAAAAAAAGAACAAAGCAGGAGGCATTATACTATTGATTTGAAGCTATACTATAAAGCTATAGTCATTAAACAATATGGTATTGGCCTAAAAACAGGTTAAGTAGAAGAATGGAACAGAATCAAGAACCCTAGGGGCACCTGGGCAGCTCAGTGGGTTAAAGCCTCTGCCTTCCGCTCAGGTCTTAGTCCTGGGGTCCTGGGATCAAGCCCCGCGTCGGGCTCTCTGCTCAGCAAGGAGTCTGCTTCCCCCCGCCCTTTCTCTGCCTGCCTCTCTGCCTATTTGTGATCTCTGTCTGTCAAATAAATAAATAAAATCTTTAAAAAAAAAACACAGAACAAAACCTAAGCATATGTGGTCAACTAATGTTTGACAAGGAAGCCAAGAATACTCAATGAAGAAGACAGTCTCTTTAATAAACGGTGCTGAGATATTTGGGTATTCATATGCAAAAGAATGAGACTGGACGTATCTTATACCACTCAACAATTAACTCAAAATCGACTAATGACCTAAATGTAAGACCTGAAACTATGAAACTCCTAGAAGAAAACATAGAGCAAAACTCCCCAACGTGGGTCTTGGTCATGATATTAGGATATAACACCTGAAGCATAAGCAACAAAATCAAAACAAGTATGACCACATCAAACAAAAAGCCTTCTGCGCACCAAAGGAAATCACCAACAAAGTGAGAGAAGAACCTATGGAATGGGAAAAAGCATTTGTAAACCATATATCTGGTAAGGCATTGATATCCAAACTATGTAAAGAACTCATACAACTCAACAGCAAACAAAACAGAACAAATACCCCAGTTAAAAAATGAACAAAGGACCCAAATAGACATTTCTCCAAAAAAAATAATAAATAAATAAATAAATACAAAAGTCCAACAGGTACAGGAAGAGATACCCAGCATCATTCATCATTAGGGAAATGCAGATTAAAACCACAATGAGATGATCCCCTCACACCTGTTAGGATGGCCATTGTCAAAAAGACAAAAGATAACACATACTGGCGAGGGTGTGGAAAAGAGACAACGTTTGTGATTGTTGGTGGGACTGTTAATGGGTGCAGCTGCTCTGGAAAACAGTGTGCAGGATCTTCAAAAAATAAAAATAAAAATAAATTCAAAATAGAGCTACCCTATGACCCAGTGATTCCACTTTTGGGACTATATCCAAAGGGGGAAAAACATACACACATACTAATTCAAAAAGGTATCAGCACTCCCATGTTTATTGTGGCATTATTTATAAGACTTGGAAACAACCTAGGTGTCCATGAATGGATAAAGAAGTTGTGGTGTATATACACAATGGACTATAATTCAGCCATAGAAAACAGATGGACCTTGAAGGCATTATGCTAAGTGCAGTAAGTCAGAGAAAGACAAATACTGTATGATCTCACTTACATGTGGAATCTTGAAAAAAGAAAATAGAAAACCAAACTCAGAGAAAAAGAGATCAGACTTGTGGTTCCCCAAGGTGGAAGATGGAGAGCGGGTTGCGGGAGGGGGGTCAAGAGGTATAAACTTCTAGTTGTAAGAGAAATAAGGGGTAAGGATATAATGTCCAACATGATGCCTATAGCGAACACTGCTCTGTGATATATAAGAATGTTAAGAGAATAAATACTGAGTTCTCATCACAAGGGAGAAAGCTTTTTTCTTTTTTTCCCCTTTCTTTTCTTTTTATTGTATCTATATGAGAAAGTGGATGTTAGTTGAGCTGATTTTAATCATTTTCACAATATATGTAAATCATACCATCTTGCTGTATGCCTTAAACTTGTACAGTGATGTGTGTCGACTTTTTCTCCGTAAACCTGGGTGTGGTGGGGGGATTCAAGGTACAAAATATTCAATACAATAGGATACCATATATGGAAACAATGACAATACATAGAACACTGCTATATGTTTCCTGTGAGTGTGGAAAAATACATGTAAAAGCATAGAAAATCTGGAAGGTTCTAGACTGATTTGATAACAGTGGTTATTTCTGAGGGTAAGAGCATGGTAAAGAGAAATTTAGCCAAATCTGTTTGCTGTGTACATTTTTCACAAGGTAAACATATTTGTGTATTACTTGACTAATTAAAAGTGATCTTTTTAAAAAATCCTTTATAGATTTCCCCTACTATCGACCATAGAGCATTCCTGCGAAAACTTTTGTGAGCCAAAATGGTGTGAAGTGAAGAAGCAGTTTTGTTTTTGTTCTGTTTTTTAGGATTTTATTTGTTTGACAGAGAGATAGAGAGAGAGCACAAGTAAGCAGAGTGGCAGGCAGAGGGAGAGGGAGGGAAGCAGGCTCTCTGCTGAGCAGAGAGCCTAATGTAGGGCAGGATCCCAGGACCCTGGGATCATGACCTGAGCTGAAGGCAGCCGCTTAACCAACTGAGCCACCCAGGTGCCCCTGAAGAAGCGTTTTATAGCAATAGCAGTTTTATATGGGGGAAAAAAATATTTAGCGCTCTCAGACCCAAGAAATAACCTCTTGGGCTTTTCTGATACCCGAGGACACATCTGGCTAGCGGATGCATAAAATAAACTGAAATCAAACACAGATGTTCACACCACTCAGAGCTATGGCAGCTCCATACTGGGTGTTGTTCCCTGGGAAGGAGCTTGGTGGCGCCACTCTCGGGGCCTTAGGGACGCCACAGGGACTCCTGGCAAACCAAACGCAGAACTCTATTTTCACTTTTGCCTTTATCTAAAAAGGAAAAGTCCTCTCCAGATTTCCTTTGGTTAACACAAACAGGTCCTAATATAGGTCTTTCATAAAAGCTATGTAGTAGAAGGCAAACTTCCGAAGAGCAGGCAACGCTCGTATTAGAAGGCAGTGGTGTTTCCCCAACAGGTCCTACCTCAGTTTATTACCATTTTGTTAAATAGTTAGGGCATCAGACAATTCCTTGATCTGCCATGAGTTCACTGTCACCAGGGGTGCTTTTCAACTGTAGGCTGCCCAGGCATTACCCAATATCAGCTGAATCCACGTCTCTGTGGGGAGGACCCCATAGCTGTGATTTTCCAGAACTCCTGGGGGTTTCGATGCACTAGACACGTGGAGTTTTGTTCCTGGGGAAGCCGTTCCCTCTGACAAACCCCCGATGGAAGAAATAAGCTGGGGTCCAGCTTTCACCCTGCCTTTGCCATTAACTAACCACCTCACCTTCTGGCAATTTCTTTCACCTCCCAGGCTCTATTTTCCTTTGTAAAAGGATTAACTTGTGAGGTTGTCCTGAGGATCAAATAAGACAGGAAGTACTTTAAAGGTGTGGAAACACTTTCAATAAGTGTTCTCACAGAAAGCGTCCCTTCGGTCTCTTACGGTTTAATTCTCCTCAGAGGGTGTTTCTGACGTTAGGGTGGAAGCAGATAGAGTTCAACAAACGGACATTCGTTTTATAGCCAAGTTTGCTCGGACACATTCCTTGAGTAAAACAACCACTGAATGAGAGAACCTTTTAGTTACAGATAACATTTTGAGGACATAATGTGTGAGAAGCACACATTTCTCTTTCATCCTCACAAAACCCTATGACATGGATATTATAAAATTCCTTTTGTCAGGGAGGAAACTGAGACATCAAGAAGTTGCCTAACCTCCCCCAGGGTCACACAAGTCGAAACAGCAATCAGGATTCAAAGTCGGTGTGGTCCGACCCTCTTGCCTCCTCCCTGAAGCTTTGCTATAGATCACCTTTTAAACCCCTTGACACAGTTGACTTGAAAGAAGGATGGCCACATGTCTATTCTAGACTTTGCCGTGCTCTGGCAATTTGGTAATAAATATGGAAAACCTTAAAACCATTGCGGAAGATGTGAGCAGACCTCTGCAAAGAAGACAACCAGATGACTAACAGACCCATGAAAAGGTACGCAGCATCACTCAGCATCAGGGAAATACAAATCAAAACCATGATGAGATGCCACCTCACACCTGTCAGAACGGCTAAAAGCAATGACACAAGAAACAACAGGTGCTGGTGAGGATGTGGAGAAAGGGGAACCCTCTTCCCCTGTTGGTGGGAGTGCAGATGGGTGCAGCCACTGCGGAAAACAGTGTGGAGGTTCACCAAAAACTTAAAAATAGAACTACCCTATGATGCAGTCATTGCACTAATGGATATTTACCCCAAAGATACCAAAACACTAATTCAAAGGGATACGTGTACTTCTGTGTTTATTGCAACATTATTTAAAATAGCCAGACAGGGGCACCTGGGTGGCTCAGTCGTTAAGCGTCTGCCTTCGGCTCAGGTCATGATCCCAGGGTTCTGGGATCGAGTCCCACATTGGGCTCCCTGCCCTGCGGGAAGCCTGCTTCTCCCTCTCCCACTCCCCCTGCCTGTGTTCCCTCTCTCACCATGTGTCTCTCTGTCAAATAAATAAATAAATTAAATATTTAAAAAAAAAATAGGCAAACAAAGGACGTAGCCCAAGTGTCCATCAGTAGATGAATAGATCAATAAGACGTGTGCTCTTGTGCGCGCTCTCTCTCTCTCTAGAATGTGATTCAGCCATAAAAAGAATGAAATCTTGCCCTTTGCAATGACATGGATGGAGTTATAGAGGATAACGCTAAGCGAAATAAGTCAGAGAAAGACAATTATCATATGATCTCACACGTATGTGGAATTTAAGGAACAAAACAAAGGAGCAAAGGGGAAAAAAGGGTGACAAACCAAGAAACAGGCTCTTAATTATAGAGAAAAAACAGATGGGGGAGGTTGGTTAGGGGGATGAGTGAAAGAGGTGTTGGGGATTAAAGTGAAGAACACCTATCATGATGAAAAATAAAAATAACTTCTAAAAACTACAGATTTTTAAAAAGTTTTTAAATTTAAAAATTTTTAAAAACTACCATTTGATCCACTAATGCTATTTTGAGGAATTTTTCCGAAGGAAATAATTGGACAAATGTCCATATACCCAGTTATAAGAATCTGTATCGGAGCATCAGAAGAAACCTGATCAGTTGGGAACTGGCAAAGTAGATTTTGGTATATCCATCCAATGGAATGCCGGGCAGAGGCCAGAATGGGTTACTTCATTAAAATTCCACATATTAACGTGTTTGTGTTCATGTAAAACACATGCATATGCGCACTACTATATATTAATAAAAAAGACTCTAAGAGGAAATAGACCAAAAGAGCTATCATCATTTTTCTCTTGATGAATGATTATGGGTAATTTTAGTTGTGTTCTCTTAGCTTGTCTTTTTATTTATTTATTTATTGCTTATTGGTATTTTCAAATACATAGTGAAACAGTACGAGTACTCTTACAACTTTTTAACTTAAGATTCTTTAATTGTGGTAAAAAGAATAAAAATAAGATTTACTGGGATGCCTGGGTGGCTCAGTTGGTTAAGCGGCTGCCTTCAGCTCAGGTCATGTCCCAGGGTCCTGGGATCCAGTCCCACATCAGGCTCCTTGCTCTGCAGGTAGCCTTCTTCTCCCTCTGCCTCTGCCTGCCACTCTGCCTGCCTGTACTCTCTCTATCTCTCTGACAAATAAATAAATAAAATCTTTGGAAAAAAAAAAAAAAGATTTACCTTCGTAACCTTCCCGAAGTATACAGTTCAGTAGTGCGAAGCGCATTCCTGTGGTTGTGTAAAGGTTATTACTTTTGTCCCAAGAATCAAAGACGGTTTTCCTTCTTAAGGATGCCACACTCACCGTATGGAAATTAACAAGAACACACTGTGCTAAGTGTTTTGGAAAGGCGATGTAGCATCCACAGATGTTTTCCCTGTACCTGCAGGCCCCCCGGTAAAGGTGATCTATCTTCCTAAGGTGGGTAAGTGGACACTGGGCTCCTTAGTCACTCTTTTTGACAGTGGCCCACATCTGGGACTGTAAGAGCTGATTTAATCCTTCACAGTAGGCAGATGACAGGCCAAGGAAGAGCTCCCCCTCCTCCTCCCAGCCCCAGGATGCTCCGCGCTTACTAAAAGGAGTGAGCGTTCGGTCTCCAGCCTTGGCCAGAACCTGCCCGCCTCCCTGATGGAATGGCTTCTGTTTTCCAGATCATTGCCTACCAGCCCTACGGGAAGTCTGTGGATTGGTGGGCCTTCGGAGTCCTGCTGTATGAAATGTTGGCTGGGCAGGTAATTGAATTTTAAGTGATTTGCAGGAAAAGTCCTCCCCTACCCCCATCTGCGCAGTTTCTCTAGAAGAAGGGTGTCCACTTGATACCAGTGTCTAGGTTGGAAGCCCTGTGACTTCCACGGCCTTGGGGTTACCCAAGTCTTTTAGAACGTTTTTCCTAATCTTTTCCCTGGAAGCTTCTGAGTGAAAGGAGAATCTTTTCCCAGGGAAAAGGGCCCAGTGGTTCGGGGCAAATGGGGAGGGTTTTAGGCAGGATCCTTGTCCTCCCACACTGTCCTCTGTCCCACAGGCACCCTTTGAAGGCGAGGATGAGGATGAGCTCTTCCAGTCCATCATGGAACACAACGTGGCTTACCCCAAGTCCATGTCCAAGGAAGCTGTGGCCATCTGCAAAGGGGTGAGTGAGCCCCTGTAAGCTTGCGGCCAGGACCACCGCATGCGGAGAAGGCAGGCTGTGCCCTGCAAAAGGACACCTCACCTGGGGGAGGGTGGGGGTGGGGAGATGGAGACTGAACTCTGCCCCTCCCCCCACTTGCCTGCCTGTGAGCCTGGCGTGCACCTGGTACCTCCTGGAGCAAAAGGAGCTTTTTTCCAGTCTGCACACAAGCACTGGAGAGGTCTGCTGACAGCTGTATCTTGCCGCTGGCTGGGCTCCAGGCGCTAGCCCACACAGGGGAATGCATATTGGATGAATGAGATAGGAAACGCAGAGACCTTGCCAAAGAGCTGGAACCCATGGGAAAGGATACGAGAGGCCGGCAGTGCCTATCTGACAACCTTGCCCTTCTCTGCGGCTTATGTGCGTGGCTAATATGAACAGCGTGTAACGTCTGTCTTATGAGAATATCACGAAAGACTGAGTTTGAGGGATTCTCTGGATAAGCTGACCCAAATGTAGTGCCTTCAGAACCCCTCGTCTCCCCCCACCACCCCACAAATGGCTGAAAATCACATGCATTTTGTACATGGCAGTGGTTGAAGACAAGACAGGGCCTGTGTTTGCCAGTGAGGATTGCTTTGTTATGCACCTGGCCCTGGGCCACGAAGTGCTCATAGTGACCTGGCTGAGTCCCTGGAGATCAGCTGTCCTCACCTTTCGTGCCATCACAATGACCTGAAGTATTTCTTCAGATCGTACAAAACCTCAGGCTCACCCTGGAGATGGTCTGGACATCAGTATTTTGCAGAAGTCCCTGGGTGGCTTAAAAACCACTCCCTTTAAACTGGTTATCCAGATGTGGTAGCATTTCAGCTCTGATGCAGGTGAACAGGCAATGCTGGGAGAGCCCCAGAGAATATGGCCCTCGGAGACTGCCTTTATGAAGTATTCAGTCTCCCACCAGCTGGGGGGCACAGGTGCATTCTCAAGGTTAGGGCATGGCCATGCCTTCCCAGTGGGTTCCCACCTGTGCGTCTGAAGAAACCAGGGCTGCTGGTCCTAGATCCTCGGGGTATTTGTAGATTTCCCACTGCCCAATCCAGCCCTACTCTTCCTGGCCCGAGTCAGATGCCCCATGAACTAGGCTAGGTGCAGAAAAGCTGGAATATTCAAGCAGTTTGTAAAAGCTGGGCCAACGTCTCCATCTAGAGCACCTCATCAACACCACCTGGATCCTCACTCCTGGTGAATCACTAGCCCAGTGTAAGGTCAGTGCAGAACCCCCCTAGACATAGTCTCGTGGGGGAGGAAGAGTGGGTGGAGGTCATACACTGAGCTTTTAGTTTGTTTAATAATGGCCAGCATTTTAAGAGCAGGGCATTTCCCATAAACATTAACTTTCCAGTTTCTCTTGAAAAATCTGATCTCACCATGCTGGTCTGTCATTCCTATAGAGAAAGCATCAGCCAGCTGGGTGGGAAGCCCATGTACCCTTTAGATAGGGCATGTCCTCTCCAATTTGCAGAACTCTCCATCTGGCCCGGTTCCATCTGGGTTCAAATCCTGGTTCCGGCATTATTAGCCCTATAGTTGTGGGTAAGTCCCTCAACTTTGTCTGTGGACCGAGGCTAATGATAGTACGGATTGAATGAGTCAATGCAAGTGAACCCCTTACAACAGAGCCTGGTTCTTACAACAGAGCATGGGCCATTGTGATTTTTATTACTAATACTGTGTACCACTATGTTACCTGCCAGGCTTCTCTTGGCATTTAAATATGCATACACAGCAATAGGAATTTTTTATTTTTTAAAGATTTTATTTATTTATTTGACACAGAGAGAGAGAGAGATCACAAGTAGGCAGAGAGGCAGGCAGAGAGGGAGGGGGAAGCAGGCTCCCCGCTGAGCAGAAAGCCCGACATGGGGCTTGATCCCAGGACCCTGGGATCATGACCTGAGCCGAAGGCAGAGGCTTTAACCCACTGAGCCACCCAGGTGCTCCCTACAATAGGAATTTTTTAAGTGGGGGGTTTTGGGAGATCTAGACCCTCTGCACATCTCGACACTTGTACTTCCTTGGTGTGTGGTCCTACTTTGTACCTCTGGGCTTCTGTTTCTTTATCTTTAAGAATGGAATACTACTACTCATGGAACAGAGGTTTTTGAGAGCACTAAATCAGGTAACAGAAAGCTCCTTGTGTGGTATCGGCGCATAGTAGGTGCTTAATTAATATGTGCTCAAGACCTTCCCCCTCCCCACTCTGTCCTGCCCGGACAGCTGGGGGATCTAAGTGGGTCATGGAGGAGAGAGGATTTTCCAGGTCAGTTGCATTCAGCTTCAGCTCCAATTAGCGGTTTCCCTGGTAGAACAGATTTCTATTAATTTAGGACCCATAACCTTCAGGATTAACTGGTGTGACTTTCTTACCCGTGGGTTCGAGGACTTTTCTGAGTTGAGCGGGCTGAGTCCAGTGTGGGCTCTTTCCTCAAGGCTGAGGCTCCAAAGAAGAAGGGTTACTCGAGCCAATGGCAAATGCTTCCTCCCGAGCAGCGGGCCCCAGGGAGTGCGTCTGGGAGGTGATCAGAGATGGAACAGTGATTAAATCCAGCTGTCTGCATGGCTTCGGGCGTATCAGCTCCGAGCAGAGCGCGGCAACTGAGCAGAGACTCGCGTTAGGAGTGCCGGGTGACTTTGCAGTGGCTTTTCTTCACTTGGCATCCTCGTCCTTGCAGGGAAATGGAGCTGGGCTTTTGAAACCCGTTCCATTCTGATTGAAAGGTCCTTTATATATCCATCCCATTAAAGAACGTATTTGCTACCAGAAAAAAAAAATTTAATATGAGTTTGCTCAGATTGGCACTCCCACTTTGAACAAACTTAAAGCAGACAGAAGCCCCAGTTGGCCGCACGTTAGCATGAAAACAAGCAGACCACACGGCACAGAGCAACAAGAGCTCTGGGTCAGGCAGATCTGCTTCAAAGCTCGGTCTGCTACTTAGCTGTGTGCCTCTAGGCAAATGACTTCTTCTCTGGACCCAGTTTCTTATCTGGGAAATGAGGATAATTGTTGTAAAATGAAAATAAAGATGGAAGAGTAATGCCTAGGAAGCCTCAAGTGCAGAGCCTCAGCACATAGGAAGTACTCCGTACACAGAGGGCATCCAGTGATGCCCTAATGTTAGTGGTAGTGCTAACCAGACCCTCGTAGCCCTTTTTTTCCTCCTATCCTAATCCTACACAAATGTCAGGGCTTGGTCCAATGTGCTTGCCCTCTATAAACCCTTCCTGACCGAGCCAAGCCACAGATATCCCTGGGAAGCCCACCCCGGAAGGGCTCTCTCGTTAAAAACCCAAGTTCGGGAGTGGGCAGACATGAGATCGAGTCCCACCTCTGCCACTCCCTGTCTCTCCATGTCCTTGCTAGCTGTTTCATATCTCTGAGTGTCAATTGCCTTGTCATTGGAATTGGAAAAATAATATGCCCACCTCGTTGGGTTATTGTGAGAATTAGGTAAGATCGTGCGTGCAGATCACATAACACCTCGGAATATAAGTGCCTGGTGATCTTCCCCCTGGCATGTAAAGCGTATATGGAGAATATGTGTGTTTGTGTGAATATAGGGGGATAGTTTCCGATGACAAGTTACCTGGAAGCAGGAATCCTTACAGTGTTCATCTCCTTGCCGTGATCCACAGATCCTGGGCACAGTCTAAGGTCTCTGGCATCATGGTGTCTGGTCAGCTCTGGGAAGCTTCTTGGTCTCGTGTGGTCCAGTTGTTTGTTTTTCCTCTTTGAGGCCTTCTTGTTGGTTTTGGGTTTTGTTTTTTGTTTGCCTGTTAGTTTTTTTAATCACAACCCCTCCGTCTTTGCTCTTGGTGCATTTGCTCGAGTCTCGAGATCAGAGAGATTTTCATGCTGCTTTGGATTCATTGACGAGAGGAGGTCTGTCTGGTTTCCTCTTGGAGCCTTTATACGTCTTGTTATTTAGCACCGGCTCAGAGACCCAAAGATGGAGGGTTTTGATAATTAAGTAATTTAAATGGAACACCAAAGAAACCTCAGCGGAGTTTTGTGTAATGTGTGATACAAGCAAAATGAGCTGGGCTAGGTTTTGACTATTTAATGAGCTTTCAGAAAGTAATTACTTGAAACTTGGGCCCATTCGACTAATATTTTTTTTCTTCTGTTTTGTCCTTTTCACAAGTGCTTTACTGAGAAATGCAAATATTATCAGAATGAATGTGGCCTTTGCCTTGGTCACATTCCAGCTTCCTTGGTGTGGGAGGTGGGGGAATTTGAAGATATTGAAACTGTTCTCATTAAATGCCCCAGTAATTGCGTAAAACTCATTCTTCAACAAGAATGCATCTGGTGACATTTCTCACTTAAAGTTCAGGACCACATTGAGGCTCAGGTTCGATTAACCATAAGCGATCTTGTTTTGGAACAAGCAGCAGTGTTGTTGGGTCCTCCGATTACAAAGACGTCACTGATGGGGCGCCTGGGTGGCTCAGTGGGTTAAAGCCTCTGCCTTTGGCTCAGGTCATGATCTCAGGGTCCTGGGATCGAGCCCCGCATCGGGCTCTCTGCTCAGCAGGGAGCCTGCTTCCCCCCGCCCTCTCTCTCTGCCTGCCTCTCTGCCTACTTGTGATCTCTGTCAAATAAATAAATAAAATCTTTTTTTTAAAAGATTTTATTTATTTGACAGACAGATAAAATGATAAAACAGATAAAAAAAAAAAACCCAAAAACCAAAGACCTCCCTGGGAAATTATTGTCTGGGATGGAAAGTGGGCAATAAAAATGGAGACTCTCATGGTGCTTTCCTCCCTAATTCCCGGGAGTCATCCCCTCTGGGCAGCTTATGCATCCTCCCCCAAAGTTCATTAAATTCAGCCTTTCTCTTCTCTTGAAGCTGATGACCAAACACCCGGGCAAACGCCTGGGGTGCGGACCCGAAGGTGAACGCGACATCAAGGAGCACGCGTTTTTCCGGTATATTGATTGGGAGAAACTGGAGCGCAAAGAGATCCAGCCCCCGTACAAGCCAAAAGCCGTAAGTAAACTGTCCTCTCGGACTCTTGGATGCACACGCATGACACGCTCTGTCCTCTCCCGTCGTGTGCGCCCGCGGTGCTCTGAGACATCGATGCTTCTACCCGAGTATGTCTGTAAGTTGAGGCACACCGTCACCGGGTACAAAACCGGAGCTCTCCATCCACGCAGCCCCGCCTCTAAGAAAGCGGGAAGGACGGTCGCCCCCAGGCTTCTGTGTAATCGGTTCAGTTATGGTTAATTGTCTTCGCTGATGGTTTTTTTTTGGAGAGGGTCCTTTGGTAAACGGAGTTCAGATCCAGTTTTGGACAGGGACGCGGAGTCTCATTTTGCCCTTGTTCTTTCCTTGGTTCGACTGTGTCGCTTTCTCCTCATCCTGACATTGAAAAGGTCATGTTGTTTACCTCCGCGGGATTTAAATGTAATCCTGAAACGTACACCGCGTCTGAGTCAGTAAATCAGACGGCCCCACCGGCCAGCTCCCACCCGAGGCAAAACAGAAGGAAGCAAAAGCTGGCGTGCTCCTAGCCCTCTTGGAGGCTCTGAGTGTTGACCCGGCTTTGAGGACAAGAGGAAAAGCCTTCTTCCCAGTCGTGTGCACCCAGGAGGGTTTCCCTTCCCCAAAGACTCAGCGGGAGTCCTTGTCAGCCCCCGGGGAGGAGGAGTTCACACTGAATTTTACCGAGCTGCAATTCCCCAGACAGGCTGTTTCTTGGTTAGATTAAGAAGGGAGACCCCGTGACTTCATGATGAGCTGTGAAGCGTCCTCTGGAGGCTGAACTGTGAACGTAAATGTCGTCCTCGAAACCCAACCTCGTGAGCTCCGTGATGACAAGGGTAGTGATTTTGCTATTAGGAATTCTTGGTCCCTTATTCTGTGCCAGGCACCACGTGAAGCGCGCCGTGTGTGGCTTCTGATGAGATCCTCACCACAAGCTTTGGCAGAGGGGAGAGGGGAGGGAGGCTCAGAGAGGTTAAGCGCTCTGTCCTGGGTCATTCAGCCCCGGTGTGATGAAGCAGGGATCCAGACCTCACACAGTCCCACTCTGTTTGAGGGGGATCACAGTGCCCAGGGAGCAAAGGGCACGCAGGATGGAGAAAGTCCCCCCACCCCCAGCTGTTGATTCTTACATCTTCCTGGTGTCGCACCTTCCCCTCCACCCCGCACCGTTAGCTTCTGCCTTCCCAGCACCCCAATGTGTCCTGTGTCTCTCTGGGCACTCCCTGGGGTCAGGAAACCTGGAGACAGCCAGTTGCACCCAGCCCTTCCAGCTGTTGCAGGCATACAAGCTAGTGTCAACTCAGCTTCCCCAGACCGCTATCCCCCTGAGCCTTTCTCTGCAGCACGTCCTCTGGACCTTTGAAGATGCTGGTCTTACACTCCTGAATCCTGTGCTCTCCAGGCCAAACACCCCACGCCTCCCCCCCCGCCCCCGCACACACACACCTTCCACCTGCAAGCATGTCCCAGGTGACGTCACCTCCAGATGCCTAGTGTCTTCCAGGCCATCAGCACAATATTTTTAATAGTGTCTGGCCCTCAAATGAATACAGCGGGTCCCACTGACAATCTCTTGATCATTCTGGAGCTGGTGAACTTGGAGGAGTCCGGTCGCCTCTCTGCTCCCCTGTTTCATCCTCTGTGATGTGGCGACATTAACAGTCCCTACATCAGAGGACCATCGTGATGCATGATGCCCTCACTGCCGTAGCTGCCGTAGCTGGCACACTGAGTGGGACTGTTGATTATTATTTTCATTAGTGGGGTCACATGTTGATCGATGTCTTGGGTGTGGGGTGTTTGAGGGGTTGAACAGTGTTGAGGCCTACTGATGCTCTTCCGTGAGATGGTGTGTTCATGTGTGCACTTGGGGCCAGAGAGGGACTATGCCAGGCAGTGTCATCTCTTCTAATGAACCATTTGGGAGAAGATCAAAATGGCAGCCTGGGAGACAAGAACAGGTTGTCTGTTCAGGAAACTGGGAGCTCAGAGACGGGACACAAAACTGACTTGGGTTTCGTGGGGCTGTTCATGAGGTCTCAGAATGGGTACCTCCCCCCCCCTCCTCACTTGGCCAGAGGAGGGTTGCAAATACCCTGTCTTCACGTGCGTTGAACCCATTGCCATGACAGGGGCAGTTCATTCTTTAGTTGTAGACCGGTGGTTTTCAAAGGGTGGCTCCCCAGACCAGCAGTATCCCCTGGGAATTTAAGGGCTAAAATGCTCAGGCCCTGAGAAACCCTCGCTCAGTAGCCTTGGGGGTTGGACACTCCAGGGGAATCTGACGTGCCCCAGGCTGATATTCTCTGCTGTGGCCAGGGGAACATGGCAAGGAGGGAAATCCCTCTTTTTTTTTTTTTTTTTTAAGATTTTATTTATTTATTTGAGAGAGAGATTGGATAGGAGGGGGTTGCACAGAGGAAGAGGGAGAAGCAGATTCCATGCTGAACGTGGAGCCCAATGCAGGGCTTAATCCGAGGCCCCCAGGATCATGACCTGAGCTGAAGGCAGACGCCCTAACCGACTAACCGACTCAGCCACTCAGGCGCCCCAGTGGGGAAAAATCTCTTAAAGAGGAAGACATTGGTTCTCATTTAGTCTGGGTGACGGGGGAGGACTATTCTGGGAACAGGTCACAGGCTCAGGAGCCTTAGAAGCCAGGCAGATCATGTAAAGAGGGGAGGGGGGTGGCTGGGGACAGGGGCAGACCGAGAGCTGGGTGCTTATCTCCAGCGGCATGGTTGCAGACCCTACTGACCGTTACTAATTATTGTAATACTGTTTTACATCATCCATAAGAACAGCGGCCTTTCTCCAAGCATCTTCTACAAGCCAAGCACTGGGCTGGCCTGGTCAGTCCTGCAGGAGGCAGGCTCCTCATACCCCCATCCTCATCAGGACTTTTGTATGTGATCTCTATCTTTTGGTGAATCAGCAACACATCTTTAAAAATTAAACACCGTTCAGGCCCGATTAAACACATCCACAAGTCATATGTGGCCCATGGACTCGGTGTATAGTCTTTGGGTAGTGATTGCTCAAAGTCAGATTGACATTTAACTGGTTCCTGTTAGTACTGGTTATTTACCCCTGCGTCCATTCCAACTGGGTAAATATTTTGGAACTTCCAGCTCAGCGATAATGAGTATAAAAGATCTAACCAGTGCCTGGCTCATAGAAGATACTCAGAAAAAAGTAGCTATTCTTATCCTAGATACTATAAAAATACCACAATAATTAGGAAGGATCAAGAAGATCCTCGACTGTTCTGCATTTGATAGGATTTTCAATCAGCCGATGTCTTGAATTCCCTCTCGTGGGTTTAACTTTGACTTTCAAAGTACAGTGATTGGACTGGGCTGTATTCTTCAAGACGTTCCACCACCAGCAATGAGGGAAAGCAGGCACAGCCCTTGCTCCCTGAGACTGAGCTAGAAATAATAATTATGGGGGTGCCTAAGTGGCTTAGTGGGTTAAGCGTCTGTCTTTGGCTCAGGTCATGATCCCAGGGTCCTGGGATCAAGCCCCGCATGGGGCTCCCTGCTCAGCGGGAAGCCTGCTTCTCCCTCTCCTCCCGACTTGTGCTCTCTCTTGCTATCTCTGCTGCTGCGTGCTCTCTCTCTCTTTCTCTCTCAAATAAATAAAATCTTAAAAGATAAAAGGAAAGAATAATCATGGATATACCTCCCCCTCTTTCGAGTCAACCTGCACATATGCCTTTGTAGCTGTGGACGCCGGCCTCAGAGTCCTCACCCCCTCTCAGAGATCTCCCATTTCCCCTTCCACACACATCCTGGAGGGCCCGAGGCAAGGGTGTGCAGAGTGCCATGGGCCTTGCGGGTGATTACAAGGCCTGCGTGCATCTGTCGGCGTTCCTGATTCACCCGTGCTATTAACTGGAGTGCAGCAGGCGAAAAATCATGGGCAAGAACAGAGGGTTCGATTCAAACATCAGTGAAGGGTGCTGTTACTGGAGGTTCAGACCATGAGCTTCAAGGCTGTTCTCGGTGCTGACTTTTATTATGACGAGGAGCCGATTGCAGGACACTCTTCCGAACCGCGGAGACCCACCAGCATTGGCGTGTTGTAATTTACCTGAGTAACTTGGCTACATGTGCATCTGATGGCATCCCTCTTGCTCAAAGCTTCCCTGCTGGCTCTCAGCTGCCCGCAGAATAATGCTGACTCTTCCGGAGCATGGGTGGTTTTTGGGGTCTTCCAGGGTCCAGCATCTGTCCCCTCCCCAGCTTCGGCTCCCGCCCTCCATGAGCAAGCAGTTCTGAATTTCTTCCAGTCACTCAGACACACAGGGTGTCCTCGTCCCTCCCCAGCTCTGTCCATGCACAGTGGAGCACCTGCGACGTCCATGCCCTTCCCCAGGCTACACCCGCCTCCAGCCCCCATCCCTCGCGGGGCCTTGCTCCTTCCCCCTCGCCGAGGCTCTTCCTGATTCCTGGGGATGGATCCCCCACTAGTGTCCCATCCACAAACTCATCACACTCTATTGTAATTGCTTGTTCGGTGCGATGTCTGTCTTCTCGACTAGATTGAAAGGTTGTGACTATCTTTGTCAGTGTTGACTCCCAGTGCTTAGCAGAAGGCTTCGCACTAGCAGGTACTTAATGAATTTTCCTGAATAAATGAACGAAACCATGAACGGCTGAAACATATGGGGCTGAGGCTCTGTGCAGAGAAACGTACGGGGTTCTTTAGGGCTGTGCCTCGGAGCAGGGTGTGTTTGTCTCCTGCATTCGTTTTCCCAGGTGCTGGGATGCTGCTGGGCCAGGGACGACGCTCGGCGTGGCTAGGGTCCCACGAGGAACGGCAGTCCCTGTCATGTTTGTTGTGCCATGCAGGAAGGTGAAGGCCATACTGATGGGCTACATGAGCCTCAGTACGGAGCGTGCTGGTGAATGTGGTGCAGGCCATGTGGCAGGCTGCTGTGGGTCAGTGTGCAGTGGGTGGGAGGTGCTGGTTGGTGTCCTAGCAGGCTCTGGCTG